TAGCGCTGCATGGGGTTGTGTAGCCTCAACTGTGTGATGTTATACTAGATGTGACAGCATTGTGCAACCCTCCTGCTGGGTTTACATCCGTTACTCTCAAGTATCGCCTGGCTCTGCAGGGGTAAGTGCAGGTTATTGCCTCTACCCATCTTATATTGGCTCTGGTCAGCAGTAAAGCTGCCCGAGTCCCATCCACCTGTGTAACAGAGCTGAAGAGCTGTTAAGAAAGGGCGTTGGGGCTGCTTGAACATGACCTAGCATAATTGAGTAGACTGAGCGTGTGGTGGTGCGTGATCTAATGAAGGGTGCTGTGTGGAGATACACACTCAAATGCGTGAAGCATGGGTCTGAAAGTAAATTCAGGACAACTGAGGCCTTGAGAAAAGTCTGTCTCTACCTTCTCTACACCCTCCCAGTAGCTGCTGCAGACAGCAAGGCATTTCTCCTTAGCCTTCTCCTGCGGCTGAAGAAACCCAGTTCTCTCCACCTCTCCTGCGCACACCACACAGTCTGGGCTACTCTGCCCAGAACCAGTTTTTGGCCACACCACCACCAAGGCTCCGAACAAGTACACACCATTGCTGACCTGGCTGCCAGCGCAAACATTTCTCCTCTTCAAACCCACATTTTTCCTTTCTCTGCCCCCTCCCCACCTCCCACCATCAACACCACCCAGGAAAATGCTCAAGGAAGCCATAAACAACAAAGTAATCTGTTAAAATAGCTGACGTAACGTTAACAAGGAACTGGTTTTGGTTTAAAACCAAGTATGGGACTATGTAAACCCCTTGGCTCTGCCAATAACTAGCTGTGGAGTAGGTGGAGAGTGGATCCTCACCAATGAATTGCTTCCTGAGCCTCTGAGCTGGCAGGGAAGTCCCCTGTACTCGGACTGCAGGAGCAAGAGGAGGCCCTCCATGCTGCAGAGCCAATTTACAAATTGCTAGATCCTGATAGACTATTTCCTCATGTGCAACGGGGCCACATGCCAGGGCATCCATCCCATCCAACATCTCTATACTAGGTGTTTTCCACTCTGAAGAGTCCCATTCTTTGGTATCACTGAGATCTTTGGGGGGAAAAAAAAAAAAATCTGTGTAAACTACTGAATCCAGTTTAAATAAACTTAAACAAAATGCATCTTCACTTTCTACCCGAAGGCCTGTTTCTGTAAGCAGAGTTTAAAATCACATCCTGGATCTGCTGACATCAAGCGGTGGGTTTAATTCCAGTGATGTAAGGAAGAGTAAAAGAGGTGTCAGCATAGGTCTTATAGCCAAGTAACTAAGAGGGAGGTTTCTCTTTGGAAAAGGTGAGGGTGCTTACCTTGCTCCAAGCATACAACTAAAATTGCTGGTGAGGCAGGAGACTGTGCCTGTGGTAATTCACTCCTCAGACACTGCAAAAATACTAAGTGAGGTTTCTGTGATACAACCTGGCCATCTGATGTTAACACAGAGCAAATACTTCTAAAGAAATGAACTCTGCTGAACAGTATGGTTAACAGCAAAACTCCTTCAGCAAACAGGCATGAACAAGAATACTAAAATTGCATTTTTAAATTTTTTTAATAAAAGAATCAAAGAAAGCTGTAGCACTTGTTTGGAAACAAACAAACAAACACCCAAAACAAAAGAAAACCACCAACCAAAAAAAACCCCCCAAAACCCACACAAAACATTCCAAAGTGAGAGCTGACAGTAAAACATTCAGCAATTGTAGATTTACAAGCTCATGAAGCAGAGTTATGGTGAAATCTTATGAAGTCACGAGGAGTCCCACGACCACGTGAGACTATTCAGAGAGCCGTCTCCAAGAGCTTCTCATTTCAGTTTTGTAATCTGGGTACCACTTGCAAGGCAGGTGCAAACCAAATGCAAGGGCAGTTCAGGTTGTATAGCCACAGACTAAGTCTAATCAGGTGTTTCCACAGAAAGCTGTTGATGTGAAGAGTCACCAATTCATTTTGAGCACAAGTCTTTTATACAAGCAGAATATTTGATCAGTAAGAAATATTATTTTCAGGTTTACCTATTGCAAATACAGGCTGTAAAAATCAAGAAGCAATTTATGATTCAAGTATTTAGACTCCCAAATGTTATAAACTGTATTCCCTTCTCTCTGGAGAACTGAGCTAAGAGATAAAGTTCTTACCTGGACAAAATTTGGTCTAATTGTCCTGAACAACCTCCTGCTTCCACACTGCTCCGGGAACAGGAGAAACTCGCTATCATCAGAGCTGAAACTACTATCCGCCTTTTGAAATGAGGGTGCCAGAAGAGCACAAGCATTCCACTTGGCTTCTGATCATCACTCTTCATCAAATACAAAACACTGATATTATTGCACGCACTGAGAAACCGAGCAGTTGAATGTCAGTGCAGTTAGACTATGTGAACACCCTCTTAGTATTTCTACCGGTCGGGTGAACATACTGCATCTATTACAAATATAACTTTACTGAGTGGTACACCAAAGCAGCCACAGCAAGGGTCTGCATTCATCATTTCAAGCTTTCTACACCTCTTGATCTATATGTAAGCAAAGAACGTATTTAGCAGGAAATGACACCACATTTTCATTCCTCCCTGTTACATTCAATTTCCCTTTTTAATGATAAAATTGCTAGCAAATTATTTCAAAGTATCTCTCTCTCTCTCCATGATTTTGGCATTAGAGGTGCAAAATAATTTGTATCTTTAAATGCAAAATAATTTGGTAGTTAATTCAACTTCTCCTATGTCCAAACACACAGTTATATCACCATTCTCCTTTTCCATACCATTATTAATAGAGATCTACTCAAATCCCACAAATTAATATCAGAATGTCATTAAAAAGACTTGATCTCTTAGGTATGGTGTAAAATCATTACTTTTTAGACCATTCTGTTAAGACAGAAGCTTGGGCAGAGCTCCTCCAGAACACTGTTCCCCTCTGCCTCCCAAAAGGAAATATATAAATTGAGAAATAAAATCAGCACAGAGGTATGTAGATCTGCTTGGAGCAACTTCCCCCCCATTACTCCCTTCTGGGCCAGACATAGCATAAGAGACCACTGGTTCTGCACATTTGTCAGGGCTATGTCTGAAATGTCTTTCAAATTGCCCGCACACCCCCCTTCCCCGTCCCTCCCCTGGTGCAGTCCTTTTTACCCAGCACTGACTTTCTATTACAAGTTTCCATTAAACGGTTCAGTTCCAGCACCCCCAAGTTCAGAGGAAGGATAATCCCCGATGACAGTCTGAAACTCATACAAAAATGGATTGTCTCTAGAAGACTACCAGCTGCACCGGCTAGCATTACTTGTTGCCCACTTCTTCATGGTACTTCCTCTTTCAACTACACCATTCTTCCATGGATTAGGTAAATACACCTTCGAGTTTGTCCTTTTCTGTAAGGACTCCAAAACATCACAGAAAGGGCTGCGTTTGTCAGAGATTCTAGTTTGTCACAAATCATTACCCAGCATCAGTTTCTCCAGTTCGAAGGAGAGACAGAATGATGTTTACATTCAAAGCATCACCTATTTACTGTGGCAGCAAGCAGGACAAATTGATTGTTAGTACAGAGGGATAAGCAGTAGCCCAACTATTCTCCCTGTTTTTTGATAGCTTGTATTTTGAGGAAGACTGAAAAGAGCACAATTCAACCTGAGCTAATACCAAGCTTGCACAGGGATGGAGGAAGAATTTACTAGAGTACACTTAAACTCACAGTGTAAGACGGTGGTCTCTTTGGAAAAGAGAAACCTTTGCATTAAACCAAACTTTTCCCAAGATTTCAGGCATCTGAACCAGTAATAGAGTCCTTTAGAAAGAAATTCAGAAAGCTAAGTAATAACTAACTACAGAACAACTTTTTTTTGCTGATGTGGCAATAATGGCAACCAACTTTCCCCTGAAACCTCAACTGAAACACTACCAGTAAGTAACTTGCAAGCAAGTCAGCTCCCATCCTCCTCCCATTATAATCTTTTACACAAGCTCAAATACCATGTTCCTGAACGGCAACTTTCAGCGTAAAGATTTTCAAAGACCATGGAAGCAAACTAAATGGTACAAGACCAGAGTGGGAATGGAAGATGCCCACTGACCAGTGTGAACGAACAGATACCCCACCTGCACGCTTCGCATACAAGCAGACTCTGTTAAGAGACACAAAAAAATAGACCGTGAACGTGGATTTGAGTACTGGGGTAGTTTAAGGTTCACGCTAATTTGGCTAACTGACCTTGCCCGAATCAATTGGCTTACAAACTGCACCCATGATTTTAGTAAATATTTATAGTAACTATTTACATATGTTGTAACCTGAAGAAACTTTACCACCATGATTTCCAAGTGCAAATATATATATAGTCTCCCTTAATTCTGCTCTTATTGTATTAAAAAAACAAACCCAACACCACATTCAGTTGCTCCTCTCAAATGCTAGCCTGCACAAATTCTCTAAAAATAAACAAATATCAATCTGAAGGTGCACAAGAAATGAACTACTTAATTAAATGAAACATAGCTTAAAACAAGCAACACAATCTATTCCTCCATTAAAGAGGACTAAATGTCCCTGCATAGAGAAAGCAGTAAATAAATATCAGAAGTACTATTAGTTAAGACATCAGACAAAAACAGATCAGATTCCTGACTTGCTATTTTTGTCTTCACATAACAACTCCATTTGGATGTTCGAAATTCAGCCTGCCTCAACATAAAATATTGCTTTCTATTTGCAATGCAGTATGAATAAAGGAAAGACTTTCAGTCTCAAAACATTTAGATTACTGATGGATACGGACTGTCGATTGTCATTGGTTTGTTCCAATGATCCATGATTGCTTCAAATTAAGCACAGCTGAAGACCGTTGCAGATGCTTCCAAATGTAGGGTTGTTTCAATAACTTAATAGCACTTTGATGCTTGCCTTGCTGAATTCTTCACTGCTGAAGGAGGATCAGTCTTCAGTTCACAGCAAAAAATAAAACAAGGCAGTTATGAAGATCATGTAACACAGAGCTCCGAAGCCCACAGCGGAGGTTTACTGCAATATGGTAGTCTGCTTCTGGTCTCTTGAGCACAAGCAGCTGCTGTAGCAGTCGCCCCCTCCTCTTCTGCATCTTCCTTTACCTCCCTGAAGCCTTCTGCTTCTTGGAATGGATTCTCCAAGAGTTTCAAGACATTTCTTACCTAGACAGAAAACATAGCATGGTTATGAGAATTTAGAAAGTAAAGGCAAAATGATGTAGAGAAGAACCTCACACCAAATAATGATTGAGTGTATTTCATTTAATGCACAAACTCCAGACAAGCCAAATATGAAATAGATTAACAGTATGCATATCAAATAAGCTGAAAACCGTAAAATCATAACTGGCTGAGTTTGTATCTGTATAGAACTCAAGCTCAAGTAACTTGAAATGCAAGTCTCAAACACAAGTTCTTACGTCGTTTCTCAAAATAAATTAATTTTCCCATATTCTTCTGCATGTAACAATCCACACGCTGGACTCCACAGGTGAAAGCCAGGACTTTTAAAAGATAACACTTAGCACAGCAAGGAACAAGCATAAATGAATCCCCAACTGCCTCCCAAGGTAAACACTATTCTGAAGACAGTAAAAGCAGTGGTAAGCATCTTGTCCTGGGATCAGCCTGCAGAAGCTGGCGAAGTTCAGATTCAGATTTTCAATTCCTTTCTTTGTTCTGCAGTCATTAAAACCACAGCTCTCTCAAAAATAATACAGACCTTCTGAACAGTAAATTCCCAATCTCCTAACTGCCTGAGATGGCAGAATGAATCTTGCCTAGCATGTCAGTCATCAACAGCACCACCGCACATCCACGCAAACCTAGAGAGATACTAAGTAGTAATAGCATACCTCTGAGAAATCACCATTTTCAGCTGCTTCTATGGCATTCTGGGCAATGTAATTTCTCAAGATATATTTTGGATTGTTTGAATTCATGACCTTCACACGATCAGTATTCCAGGCATCAGCATCACTAACACTTTCTATTTCTTTTTGCAAACGGACTCTGAAATTAAGCAAGTGAAAGCAACTGGTTTGGTTCAAGAATCACATGTAAAAGTTGACCCGTTTCCTTGCCTTGAGATCCTTAGTTTGCAGTTCTTAATAAATACTACATAACCTATAATCCTCTCAGTTTATAAAATCCAGTACAACAACAGATTACAAACACCACTTAATTTAAAAACAGCATTACAGACCACCAGCAGGTGCTGATGAGGCTTGAGGAAGTGGCAACACCTTGCATATTCTCTGAAAAGTCAGAGTGAGACACTAGTGCATGGTCTGTTCTGCATTGCTCTGCAAAAACCTTTACTTTTGTAACTTGGCTTAAGTATTTCTGCACTTGTTTATTGGTTAAAGCTTTTGATGTTCTGATGAAAGTCAAGGGATACAACTGAGGCAGTTTGATCTACCCATTAGCAGGAATACTTGCTAAAACTCTCAGCCCCATTGGAGAACAAGACCACAGGCAGCCAGGTGACTTAATCCACGCAGCAGAAACAACTAATGCTCCACTAAAATAAAATCTCCTGCTAGCCTTGAGTTTTTAGGATTTTAAGTTATGCCTGTTAGAACAGTCTGGACTTTTTTTTTCTGGCCGTGACTTCTTTTTCAGCTACTCTTTGATTAAGAATACTTGCTTTCTATATTAATACATAGATTTTTCTTTCAGAAAAAAAAGTAAAAGGATAAAATGCTTAGAGATCAGTCAACTGCACTTTGTAGCTAACAGCTAAAATTAGTCTCTGCTAGAATCAACATCAACATTCTTGAAGCACTTTTAATACTAGATTTGATACGAGGTGATTTCTAGATCCCCACCCCTCCCCAAAATCTAGTAAACAAAATACACAGATGCCCTTGAACTTGCACAGCAACACAGATACTGATCTTGGAGTAGTTAATATTCTGAGTTGCATGCCCCCCACATCCCTCCCAACCTATATACTTTGAGACAGGGTGTCTTTCGTGAAATGGGCACACTGTTCTCAAATAAAATGCAGCACAAATATACTGCTCTGAATACTGAGAAACCTTACCTGTATTTTTCCAGCCATTCTTTCCAGTGTCTCTTATTTCTGCTGAGTAAATCAGCTGCAGTTAACTGCTGCAGTTTAGAGAATTGCTCGATGCGTTCCAATTCTTTATTTATATTAGCTTTTGTTCCAATTAATGCAAACAGTTGAGGATTAGACTGAGCCAACATTAGCATCATCGACAGTTGTCTGTGAACAAAGAGTAACAAACACATTAGATATTAAAGTTCATCTGTCTGTCAAGAACCATCTTTTTGCAACCATGAAGTAGATATGAAAATATTCACAATAACCTATGATTTCACTAGAGAGGTTAAATAACAGTACTTTATAATTAACAGAACTAATTTATAATAAATTATGCTAATTTTACTGTTCCTTCCCCCTTCTTCAGTGTGTTTAATTCACATTCATGTGGTACATAAAGTGCAGACAGTAGATTTTCAGAATTACTAATTGGGTTTAGAAGCGCAATTCTCATCAAAACACTCTTGGAACTTTGAAAGGAATTCGGAATAAGGAATTTGATCTTACTTAGGTATCAAGATAATACAGAATCCATAGGGTTTGGGTTTTTTTTTTAAATTTATTTTTCTAACATTAATACTGTAACAGCATGCAGAATAAGGATCTAACATATACTAATCTTACCAGTACTAAGAAAAACCCAAATCATATGGGGAAAGATACCTCATTTAAGTCATATGAGACAACAGTTTGTCTATATTTTTTTTTTAGCTATCCAGTCTAAATCACAGAATGAGAACTGTTTTGTGGTAATAAATTCCTAACAGCATCCAGAATATTTTGCTTCAAGTTTGACTAGGACTGTATCTTTTTACATTGGACTGTGTTAGCTGATGCTGTACAATAGCTTCACCTTATTTTTGATACCATGCTAGCTAACTTTTGTTTTTCCTGGATTAATAACTGCACTACAGCAAATAGTAAGATAAAAAAAACAAAGAGGAAAAATTGCAGCATATCAAAATACACTATTTTTATTTCCTTCTATGAATGCATTTATAAACAAAGGAGAAAAGAAACATTATTCCCTGGCCTCAAAACAGACAACTCATTATATCAGATTATATTTTCCTACTTCTAATAAGCAGAGATAAACTAGGTGCTTTGATTTTTGAGTTTATATGAAGTACTATCCAAATCCAATTTACACATCTGATGTGCACAGCTCTACAATATCCAAGTGGTGTGATAAAAATCAGTTAAGTACTCCCTTTAACACAGTACTATGCCCCTCCAAAGCTTTATATCCAATTAACGATGACTTATACCTACTTTTCACATTCCTCTAAACCTGAATGTAATGTTTAAAAAAATATTGTCTCACCTGTCACTCAAGCTATCTTCATATTGCATGATATCTGTTTACAATTTCAAAGTAACTGAAACCTGGACCTTAATTAAATAAGCAGCATCCACCACCTTAATTTAGTTCCCTTTCATTTTAGTGCATCATCACTAAAACTTAAATAATCAGTAATATCTCCAAAATGAAATATGACTACAGCCAACCACCTTGGCATAACACCAAACGTGTATGAACAAGTTTCACACCAGTCCATCTTCTCAACTCCCTGCTTTCCACAAGTTAACTATGTGGTATCAACACATAGAAAAAGCTGAAGGATTTTGTAGGTTCGTTATCTTCATGGAACACTTATTAAATGGGGCAGGGACGGGGGGGACCACCCTACCCAAAATATCCTCATTTTAATTTTTTTCCCCCATCTGGGAAGATGCTAGAAAAAAAATGACAAATTCATGAGTCACACTCATTCCCTGTTTTCCACTGCTCCAAAAAGTGAAGATTCCAAAAAGAATCAGCCGTTGAACAAAACTTACTATTTTTCCATGCTCAGAGCAGCTGGGCTGCAGAACCCATCCAATGGACAGCACCACACAGTTTTCAGAGCCTAACGTGTGCATTTAGGTTATACTTAGCCCAGAACATGGTGATTATTTGCTGACAGTACATTGGCAGAACACAGTAAATCCATTTCTTCTATAAAATATTTCTGTATCACTTCACTATCTGGCACTCTCATAGCCTTAGTCAGCAGAGACAGTGGAGAGAAAAAAAAAAAAAAAACCAAACGAAAGTTCAGACAACTTTAGCCCAAAAGCCAACTGCTGCAAGTCACTGCTGAGCATTCACCAATCACAAAATACACAAGAATTTGCACTGCTGTAAACCATGATGCATCTACTTAACAGTGAAATTTCCAAATTTAGTCAAATATTACACAGCATGCAGAGTTCATTATGGTTATGATGAAACTAACAGCACAGGCCAAAAGCATTAAGTAGAGAAAAGTATTACCTTGGGTCCATCTGCGGTTTGAAAGCAACTTTCAGTTCTTCCACAGAAGCACACTGACTTGTAAGCTTTTCTAAGAAATCTTCCAATTTTGAAGGATCAGAGTCTACTGAGAATGAACTCAGCAAGTAGAAAATATTTGTGAAGTCTCCACCTGAGAAAGTGAATTCTATGAGTAATGCAACTAATAA